CTTAGAGCAATGGGTTACAAGATAGTATTTGCAAGCCTCACAGTAACTTCAAGTCAAAAAACATACAATGACCACAGGAAATATAAAAATCAGGAAATTAAATTATACCACAAGAAAAAATCACTTTCCATAAAAAGAAGACAGGAAGGGATGCTACAAGACAACCAGAAAATAAATAATGAAATGGCAGGATTAAGTCCCTTATCAGTAATAACACTGAATGTAAGAGACTGATTGAATGGATGATAAAACACGACCCCATGATCTGTTGCTTACAAGAAACACACTTCACCTATAAAGATATACATAGACTGAAAATAAAAGGGTAGAAAAAGATATTCTACACCAATGGAAACAACAACAACAAAAAAAGGCAGGTGAACTTATATTTAAACAAAATAGATTTCAAAACAAAAACTGTAATAAGAGACAAAGAAAGTCATTATATAATGCTAAAGGGGTCTACCCAACAACAGGATATAATCACTGTAAATATATATGGACACGACACTGGAGAACCCAGATATATAAAGCAAATATTATTTGAGCTAAAGAGAGAGCTGGAACACAATACAACAATAGCTGGAGACTCAGCACCCACTTTTAGCACTGAACAGCTCTCCCAGAAAGAAACGCAACAACCATCAGACCTAATCTGCACTACAGAACAAATGGACCGAACAGACATTACAGAACATTTCATCCAAAGACTACAGAACACACATTATTCTTCTCAGCATATATATCATTCTCAAGAACAGGCCATATGTTAGGTCACAAAACAAGTTGTAAAATATTTTAAGAACTGAAACAATATCAAGCATCTTCTCTGATCACATGGAATAAAAGTAGAATAAAAACAACTCTGGAAACTATACAAAGACATAGAAAATAGGCAATATGCTCCTAAATGACCAGTGGGTCAGTGAAGAAATTAAGAAGGAAATTAAGAAATTTCTTGAAACAAATGATAATGGAAACACAACATACCAAGATCTATGAGATAGATTGAAAGCAGTACTAAGAGGGAAATATGTAGTTGTAAGTGCCTATAACAAAAAAGAATAAAAATTTCAAATAAATGACTTACCAATGCATCTTTTCTTTCTTTCCTCCCCCCACCCCACCTGCCCAGAGATTCACTCTGTTGCCCAGGCTGTCGTGTAGTGTCACAATCATGGCTCACTACAGTCTGGACCTTCCTGGGCTCAACAATCCTCCCTCCTTAGCCCCCCTAGTAGTTGGGACTATAGGCATGCACCAACACATCTGATTAATTTGTATTTTTTGTAGAGATGGACTTTCACCATGTTGCCCAGACTGGTCTCAAACTTCTCAGCTCAAGTAATCCACTTGCCTTGGCCTCCCAAAGTGCTGGGATTACAGGCATCAGCCATTACATCCAGCCAGCAATGTATCTTAAAGAGCCAGAAAAGCAAGAGGAAACCAAATCCAAAATTAGCAGGAGAAAAGATGAAGATCAGAGCAAAAATAAATGAATTTGAAATTAAGAAAAGATCAATGAAACAAAGTTTTTTTAAAAGATAAGAAAAATTAGCAGAGTAACAAAGAAGGGAGATGACCCAAATAAATACAATTAGAGATTAAAAATGAGGCATTACAACTGACACTGCAGAAATTCAAAGGCTCGTTAGTGGCTATTGTGAGCAACTATGTGCCAATAAATTGGAAAATCTAGAGGAAACCGATAAATTGCTAGATACCCACATGCAACCTACCAAGATTGAACCATGAAGAAATCCAAAGCCTAAACAGAGCAATAACTAGTAACAAGATTGAAGCCACAATAAAAAATTTTTCCCAGTAAAGAAAAGCCCAGGACCTGATGACTGCACTGCTGAATTCTATCAAACATTTAGAGAACTAATACTAATCCTACTCAAACTATTTCAAAAATTAGAGGAGGAGGGAGTACTTCCAAACTCATTTTATGAGGCTAGTATTACCCTGATACAAAACCAGACAAAAGCACATCAAAAAAAGAAAACTACCGGCCAATATCTCTAATGAATGTTGATGCAAAAATCCTCAAAAAATACTAGCAAACCAAATTCAATAATACATTAAAAATATCATTTGCCCTGACCACACGGGATTTACCCCAGAGATGCAAGGCTGGTTCAACATACACAAATCAATGTGATACATCATATCAACAGAATGAAGGACAAAAACTATACAATCATTTCAACTGATCCTGGAAAACCATTGGATAAAATTCAACATCCCTTCATGGTAAACACACTTAAAAAACTAGGTATGAAAGGAACAGACCTCAATATAATAATAGCCATATATGACAGACACACAGCCAGTATCATACCAAATGGGAAAAACTGAATGCCTTTAAGAACTGGCCCACTTTCACCACTGTTATTCAACACAGTACTGAAAGTCCTAACTAGATCAATCAGACAAGATAAAGAAATAAAGGGCAACCAAATCAGAAGGAAGAAGTCAAGTTATCCTTGTTTGCAGACAGTATGCTCGTATATTAGGAAAAAACTAAAGACTCCATCAAAAACTATCGGAAGTGATAAACTCAGTAAAGCTGCATGATACAAGATCAACATACAAAAATCAGTAGTGTTTCTATATGCCAACAGTCAACAATCTGAAAAAAAATTAAAAAGTAATCCCATAAATAAAAAAGTAAGGGCCACAAATAAAATTAAATACCTAGGAGTTAACATAACCAAAGCACTAAAAGATCTCTACAACAAAAACCATAAAACATCAATGCAAGAAATTGAAGAGGACACAAAAAAATGAAAAGATATTCCATGTTCATGGATTAGAAAAATCAATATTGTTAAAATGTCCATACTACCCAAAGCAATCTACAGACTCAATGCAACTCCTTTCAAAATGCCAATTGCATTTTCACATAAATAGAAAAAACAATCCTAAAATTTATATGAAAACACAAAAGACCCAGAACAGCCAAAGCTATCTAAAGCAAAAGGAGCAAAACTGGAGAAATCACATTACCTGACTTCAAATTATACTATCGAGCTACAGTAACCAAAACATCACAGTACTGGCACAAAAACAGACACACAGACCAGGAGAACAGAATAGAGAAAAATCCAAAAACAAATCCATACACCTACAGTGAACTCATTTTTGACAAGGTTGCCAAGAACACACACTGAATAAAGGATAGTCTCTTCAGTAAATGGTGCTGGGAAAACTGAATGTCCACATGCAGAACAGCGAGACTAGACCGCTTCCTCTTCCCACATACAAATATCAAATCCAAATGGATTAAAGACTTAAATCTAAGACCTCCGAACTATGAAATTACTAGAAGAAAACATTGGGGAAACTCAGGACATTGGAGTAGACAATGATTTCTTGAATAATATGTCACAGGCACAGGTAACCAAAGCAAAAATGGACAAATGGGATCACATCAAGTTAAAAAGCTTCTGCAGTGAAGGAAACAATCAATACAGTGAAGAGACAACCCACTGAATGGGGGAAAATATTTGCAAACTACCCATCAACAAGGGATTAGAAGGCAGAAAATATACAGAGCTCAAATAACTCTACAGGAAAAAAATCTAATAACCCAATTTAAAAATGGGCAAAAGATCTGAATAGACATTTCTCAAAAA